GTTCTTCCACTTCTGAGACTGTTATGACAAAGTGATCTAACGGGGATCTGTAGGTTGAGGGATGAAGACTGGGAAGACTGAATGGAGATGGGATGTTAAAAATTTGGTCAAATGGGACCGGAACATTTCCGCCACTTCTGCAGATGAGGTTGTGGGATACCGTCGGGTTCAGATGGGGCAAGGGCGGATGGAGTGTTTTGCCGGGTTTGTCACATGAATTTGCACAGGACTGGCCAATTTACCAGCGCCCTGGCTAAAATGCCGTTCTGTCGGTTTCTCCGGAACTCTCGGATCCTTGATTTGCATAAATTGCAAATGCGGATGAAGTCGTTGTCATCTTCCATCAGACCGGTCAATCTGTGCTGAGCAAAGGATTGCGAACCTTCTTCTAAAAGATGACGGATAGCACGCGGTAAGGGGTGTCTGTTTGATGAAGATTTACGGACGCGGGACACCAGCAGATAGTCCGCTACGCGGATATACTGTTCTATTGTGCTACTCAAGATGTTTACGTCACTTATGTGGTTAGTTTGTGAGGTATGGGCTTGGAGGAAATGCCTCAGGTTGTTGAAGGTCAGGACAGATCAGATCGGGTCAGGTTTCCAGGACTTGCGGCTTGAGCCAACAAGAGTTCAGTTTCTTGCTCGAGTGGGCATGAATTGACCTCCGTGCTTCAACCGTTCGTTATTCCAGTGTTTGGTTAACCAAGCGTCCTTTGCTGGTCCACGGATTGCAAGGTGCAATATCGGGTTCACTTCTGGAATAAGCAGGCGACTCACGATTAGAAACGGATAAATTGCCTACATCTAGCACTGTTACACACTGCTAGACAAGCCCTTATATCGACAGACAGTAGAATAAAAAAGACTTAGGGAAGTGGAAGGCTAAGGGTGAAGTTGTGGTACGATAATAGTACGAATAATAATAATAACAAAAGAAGTGAGGAAGCCTCTAGAAAAGAAGGGGTTGCGGAAGGGAGGGATGAAGCAAGGAGGCAAGGCCCCAGAATCAGATAAGTTCGGGGAACATCGCAGCCCAGTTCTTTTCCAGTCTGGCCTTGAACTGCACTACAGTCTGGACTGAGACTACCTCTGCCGGCAGTCTGTTCCACGCGTTTATCACCCTATGGGAAAAGAAGTTCGCCCTTATGCTCTTCAGAAATCTGGGTTTGCTCAATTTCAATCCTTTGCTCTTGAGGGAAGGGTTGTTATCTATGCTGAGCAGCTGGCCTCCCGTGCTGGTGATTCCCTTCAGAAGCTTGAAGGTCTCTATAAGATCCCCCTCAAACTTCTCCTTTTCAGTGAGAAAAGTCCTAGCCTCTCCAGCCTCTGTGTGTACGTCAACCCTTGGAGACCCAGGAGAAATCTTGTGAATCTCCTTTGTATCCTTTTGAGCGTGTTCATGTCTCCAACTTTAGTTGGTGCCCATGCCTGGACTCCATACTCTAAGTGGGGAAAAACGAACCCCAGAACAGGACAGGTCACAGAACTTGCGGCAGAGCCAGGAGCAGTCCAGTTTCTTGCACCACTGAGCTTGGGAGAACCACGGTGCTGCAACAATTGTGTTACTTCGTTCACGTGGACGTGAGTGCGTGCGGTTCTGGAAAAGGAAAACGCACGTTTGATGGTTCCTCGAAGTGACAGTACACGTCTAAGGTTTTGTCAGGATCAAAGCAACAGCTCGCAACCCACCGCTCCGAAATGCCCAGAGTAAGAGATGTGCTGTGGAGAAGAAACTTGACCTAAAGGTGGTGGTATTGGTTGTAAAGAAATTTCAGTAAAATGTGGTGAGCAGTGAAAAAATGGAGCTTGGGGAGTTGGAGAAATCAAAGTGAAGTTAGAGATAAAGAGTTTATTGTAAAGAGGGGGACGGAGACGGACGAGTTATTAGCGACCTCAGGCCCGGTGTCAGATACAATCGGCGAACGCTGATGCCCAGTATGCGTCAAGCTTCATCTTGAACTAGGCAATGGTTTTTGACGCCACTACCTCCTGAGGCAACTGCTCCATGTATTAATTACCCGGTGCGAAAAACAGTGGCTCTCTGGCGTTTGAGAGTCCGTGGCTTGTTCAACTTTATGCTCTTTCGCCTTCTGTTGGGTACATCGTTACGCTGAAGTAGGTGAGAGAATCCATGAGAGAACCCGGTCAAGATACGGAAGGTTTCAATTACGTCCCCCCTCAGCCTTTTACGATTAAGTGAGTACAGGTTCGGCCCCTAAAGGCGTTCGGCGTATGTCGCTCCCCGAAGGTGCGGAAACATGCGCGTGAACCTCCTCTGCACGCTTTCCAGAACCTTTTAGTTCTTTTTCAGAGCTGGGGACCAAACTTGTACACAGTACTCTTGTTGCGGTCGTGTAGAGCGGGACTAGCACGGCAAGGTCCCTGGACCTGAATAAAGCTCTATTGGCTGTACGTTCCGCAGTAACACATTGGGTAGAGGAGTTAAAAGCGGAGTTCAAAGTGGCCCATAGGTCCGTGATCTCTGGCACTACTGCCATAATTTCCCCGTCTAGAGCTCCCACATAGAGTGGCCAAGCCCCCTGAGCACTCCCGGTTGGTAGGACCTTACACTTTGCTGCATTTCAAGGGAGACTCCACTTTGCAGATCATGCTTGCATTGCATCTAGGTCATGTTTGAGATCTCTACCCTGGTTCGAGCCAATAGTTTAACGTCATCTGCAAAGATAAACGTAGGGTTTAATAAATGAGGGACGTTTAGTTTAGTTCACTCTGACAGACTCTCCTGAGAGTGTACTGCTATTCTCCGTGTAAACGGTGCTAAGAAAATCAAGTAGAGCTTCGGCTTTCTGGTCAGGTGCAATTGCATGCTCTCTTGACCCAAGAAGTACATTACCCACAGTTACTCTCATGCTTCCTTTTGACTGAACATAGGTAAAGTAAGCCNTAGAGCCAACTCATATCTCATTGTGTGGCTCTTATAAATGATAATGGCTGCATCTTGAGCTTGAAGGTACTGGAGATACCAGGCGTGACTTTGTTGGGCAGCGAAGCGCTTCCAAACAAGACGCTTTTTCCTCTGAGCCTTGCCCGCCGCACTTCTCCACCAGGGTGGACTGCCTCTTCGATGCAGTCACCTCAGCGGGGCGAATTCCTCAGTTAGAGTTTCCTTTGATTTGTTCCCATGTTTGATTCAAGTCGGTGGACTGGCTTTGCCAGTTCATAGTTGCTGCCCTGGAAGCTGAAGCGGTTGCATTGACACGCTTGTAAGACCGCCTCCACTTGTCGGGTGGCATTCCTCTATCTATGACATAGGAAACGGAGCGTTCCTTGGTCGCTTCTACCAAGAGGTGTTGCAATATGCAGGTCCTTGACTTCAGCTGGATACTTCGTCACGATGACATCCAGCAAAGAGGTCAGGTCAGGTCAGGTCAGTTTGCAAAGGACTGGTAGCGGCTACAGGCCAAGCAAGCGTCCATAATTCCTTCGGTGGTGTGCTCATGTGTGTGCATCCACTTTTTCAATTGATCGGTTTCTTCGCCTATCTGCAAACAGAGAGACCTAACTTCTCGCCGTCGGCGAGAGACTTTTGATGTGAATGCGTTCCATATTGCACACAAAAAAGGTTATAAACCTGACAGTCGAATCCTGTTCAGTACATCTCTTTCGGAAACAGTTCTAACCACCTCTTATCCAAAGCCAGTTTGAAGGCACGGATACTAGGCGGGTTGACTAGTTCCCCAGGTAGTCTATTCAACATATTTACCATTCTGTTTCTGAATTAGTTGGACCTCACACCAAACCTACCTCTTTTTTTCATCGGTTTATGCTCGTGGCCTCTGATATCACCATACGGGGCATCAGAAAAGTGCTCCTTAGGAGGAATCCCAGAGAAACCCCTCCTAATTTTGAACGCTTCTATGAGGTCTCTTCAACTTTGCCTTCTCTCTAGCGAAAATAGATCGAGGTCCCTTAATCTTTCCTGGTATGATTTACCTCTCTTCCCCTCTAGGTCAGTTCAGTTCAGTTCAGTTTGCACAGGACGATGTGTGGCTCGGCTCAATCTTACCTCCAAATTGATGTGTTGTTGGCTGTTCTTGTGGCTTCCAACACTGCGAATCAATAGGTCTTTTCTGCAAGGCAGAAAGTAAGGTTATGTCTTGTGTCAAGACGATGTTATCGATAAGTACGCCTTTTTGTCTAGGCCCCAACAACTGGAGAAAGAAACCTGCTGAGAAAGGACAGTCAGAGTGTATCCTTGATCACGTAACAACAAGCAAATATATGTGGTCAAATGGACGTCAAACTTGTAAAACCGCCTTCCGTATTCTCAACCTTATCAAATGATCTTTCCCGCGTATAACCAAAG